TTGAGTTGCGTATGCTGGACGAGCCACGCGACGACTTGGCGTAGCTTCTCGTAGTTCGGCCCTTGCAGCTCGTGAACGCTCAAGTTGAGCGTCGTCTTAGAGTTTGTGGCTTGTGTGTACGACTGCAACGCGGTGTTGAAGCTGTCGCAGATGGCCTCTGCAACGCGAACGCGTTCTTTGACGCTCGCAACGGGACGGAAGAGGATGTCGCAGTCGACGCTCGTCAGTTCCTCCGACTGGAGGCAGAAGACGAGGCCACCCACGACGCGCTCGTAGATCGGGATCTCGGCCACGGACGCGCGAGGGTACCCATGCGCCACGAGCATGTCCACGCATTCCAGTGCGAGCTGGGCCTTCTCCGCGGCCTCGGCGCTCGGCGCTGCGCCCAACTGGTTTGCCATCGTCGTATCCAAATCGAAGATTTCGTAGTCCGGTTACCGGTCGTAGGAAATCCGGATAGAAACTCGCCACAGGAGATCGTGGCACTTGCCGGCGAGGCGTTGGTTGCGCATCAGCTGATGGCATTTGACCATCAGCGCCTGAGAGCATGGAGCTGGGGCCGGCCGCGTGGCACCTCTACCCGCCCATGGGGCTGCTCGTCCAGACGCCGACGCTGCTCAAGGCGGACACACAGACACATGCGATGACGTCCAAGTGGCGTCAGCATCGCGTGTCGACGGCCATCTTTGTCCTGTCTTGCGTAGCGACCACGGTCGTGCTTATCGACTTGACCATGTTTGGCAACGCGCCCACGACGCAGCCAGTCTCGGTGACGATTGCTTCAAACGCCACGGTGGCGACCGCAGCTTTGGGTGGCGCAGCGTCGAGAACCGGTGATCTACCAAGCGCCCCGCTGCGCGAAGTGCTCGTGTTGCTTCTCGTCATTCTCGTCGCTCTCGTTGGAGCTGGTGCGTACTTGATGCACCGCCGGACCCAGTCAGCCACGCCCATCAAGGCTCTCGACCAAGAGGAACCAAAGCCCGTTTGTCTCACGGTCGTGTCGGCGCCTTTGTAAGATGGAATTCAGTTGACGTGCAAGATCGAGTAGTACTGCGCATCTACGTTAAAGGTCTTGCGCGCCGACCCCGCTCCCAGCGCTGACGGGCCCAGCGAGGCGAGAACGGCCGGAGCCCGCGCCAAGCTCCGATGACCGCGTTCGTTGCACTCGTTGTTCGATCTCGGTGAGAACCGACGTTGCTGCCGCATCCAGCTCGGTCGATCGGGGCGCTTCTGTTCGGTAGATGTGCAAATCAAAGAACTCTCGCCACGCCACGTCATCTACGCCATCCTTGTTTCCTAACCGACAACATGGGATGCTGCACCTTGGTCCGAAAAGACGGGAACGAGGAGAGGCTCGTCGTCATCCCCAGGATCGCACATGCGTGCGCCTACGCCTTGTTCATGAGTGCTGAACTCTTCCATGCGCGTCCAGAGACCCATGGGTGCTTTTAGCGACGCCGTGTCCGAGAGCGGAATGATCTTGATCTTGTCTAAGCACCCTTAGAAGAAGGGCGGGCGTCGGAGATGGTACCGCTCGATGCATCGGGTCGTGCTATCGCGCCTACTTTGCATCATGAGACCTCGCCCCTCTCTCACTTGCTTCTTGCACCGCCAGCGTTGACGACGGGCGCAATGCGGTGCGACGCGGAGGTCATGTTGACGCTTTCCGGCACGTAGCGCTGCCGCTGCAGCACGAACCAGAGCATGGACGCGGCGCCCAATATGCCCAGTACGATGGCAAGATAGACCCAATCCAGGGGCAGCACCATGGAGTCGAGCCATGGAAGCCGATGGCTGTAGTCGCTGAACGTAGCGTTCCCGCGGGTCGTGTTGGCATAGCCGAGGACAAATTCGCCTACGATAAACTTCACGCTTAGACTCAAACCTGCGATGCGGTGGTACCAATGACGGGCGGGTGAGCGTCACGCCGGATCGTCAGCTGGAACGGGTACAGGACGTAGAAGCCCGGCGCGCAGTTCACGAGCTGGAGCGTGTACGTGTTCGTCGCCAAGTCCAGGTCGCTCAAGAAGGTGAACCAATCGAGCTACAAGTGCGCGAACCCTGAGATGACATGACCACCACGACGCGAGCTGGACGTACGCGCTCAATCTCGTCCGTCGCCGCACCCTTGGGGCCTATCGCCGTCATGCGCAGCGCACAGGGGACGCTCGTGGTCTCGTCGCTGACGGCCGTGCAGCCATCTTCGCAGGACGCTCCTTTCGTCGGCGAGTCGAGCTGCTGCCGGGCGTCTGCGGTGGCCTTGACGATGATCGCGATCGTCGAGGCCATGGCGGTTTTGGAATTCCGCACCTAAACGAGGCGAACTTGACGAGGACAAGATCGCGATTAGGGTTGCGAGAAGGCTTTTGGCGCCAAACCTTGGTCCTATGGAACCACAAGAGCTGCACTACGTTCTGCTTTAATTCATTTGGGAGAGCAATTATCACAGGACAAGGCAGCACGTCACTAGAATAATTGCACTGGGCCGTACCCACAAAAACAAAATAAAAAAGCGACGTTGAATGTGGTTTTCTACACCACACAAATGTCGATGTTCCATGCCGGCGTAGGAGGCTTAAAGCACAGCAACACTATCGCGCTGCCACATGGATCGACCGTCTGCCGTGTCGCGGTGACCATCGGCGTAAAAGTCGACGTCCTTGTCTTCTTCGAGCTTGCGGCGGTTGCGAATGACGACGAGCGCAACCGCAGCGACGCCGACGGCGCAGACCAGGCTCGTCACCACGGGCAACGTCACGTTGTCGGACGAATCGCTGGACGACGTCGACACTTCTTGGATGTTGGCAACAGGCGCCGTCGTGGCTGGCGCAGCACCCGTAGCTGCAACGGAATCGTCGAGCACGGGCAACGTGGCTGGAATCGTCACATCAATGACGCTTTCCAAGGTGGCGTTGCCCAACGTGGGTGCGGGCGTTGTAGTGTTGTGCTCGGTTGTAGTGTTGGTCGGTGCCGGCGTCATTTCGGCGGTTGTCGGAGCTGGGGTAGTTGTCGCTGGCACGGTCGTTGTCGGTGCGGGAGTCGGCGATGGCGTCGGGGCCGGCGTCGTCGCTGCGGGCGCGACGTTGAACTTCCAGGTGAAGCCGTCGGCAGAGATACCAAAGTGGCCTTCGTCGCCAGCCTTGTTGGTCGCATCGTGGAACTGAAAGTAGAATGGCGACGGCCCGCCGTTCGAGTTGGCCCACGTCTGGTACTGATTCCAGTAGTTTTGCGCAGCACCAAAGTTGGCACGGCCACCACCGTCGGACGGGTGGCCAGTCTCCGTAAGGCGCGTCTTCCCACCGTACTTGGCCACGATCGCGTTGAAGCGCTTCGTGAGGTCCGCGATCGAGTCGCTCGGCACGGACGGGTTGAAGTACGGGTAGATGTTGACGCCGACGACGTCGCAGTTGGCGCCGAGCGAGGCGTCGGCATCGAGCCACGATCCATCCGTCTGCACAGTCCCGATCGGGATGTGGCCGAGACCCGCCGCCTTGAACGCTGCGCGCGTCGTCTGAATTTTGGAGATGACGTCGCCGATGCCAAGCCCGGAGATGAGGTCTTCATTGCCGACGTACACGGCGAGAACGTTGCCCGGGTGGCGCTTTGTGCCGTCGACGGCGGCCTGGAGGTCGTCGGCGAATGGCACACCACCGCGGATCCAGATGCCCGCGGCAATCTGGAGGTTGGCTTTGGCGGCCGCGTCAATGAGGTTGACCCTGCCTTCAACCGTCGTTTGGTACGTGCGCACGGAGCCAAACTTGGATTTGATGACGGCAAAGTGCTTGTCTACGCTCGAGACGGCTTGATACGAGTCGTAGCAGACACCGTTAAGGCCGCCGGCACCCGTGCGCGCAGCATCGGTCGTCGTGTCGGTACCGAGTCCGACAAGCGCCAAGGCGACGGCACCGACGACGGCGAAAGCCGACACGAGGATCGCGATTTTCTTCTTCTTGGGCGAGAGCGTCCACTTGGATACGACGGGCCCCGCCGTCGTGGGTGTGTCGAGAGCCTCCATGGGACGAGAGGCGTCGTGTTCACAAATGACACGCTACCTGTGGAAGGAAGGTACTACAGTGTAAAGGAGGCATCTCTCGCGCACTGTACCTCCTCACCGCCTGTCTGCAGTCGTCCATCGCTAGCGCTTTCATTGGCACCTCGTCGGCGTAATGCCATTCGTCACGTACATAGCGCCATAGGAAAGCCAAGTTGCTTTTCGCCACTTGGCGCAATGTATGGGAAGAAAAAGTATACACAGGTGTCGGTCACGCCGCAACGGCAACCAGCTGCAGCGGAAACGGGCCGTCTTTGCCTCATCGAGCGTTCGGGCGCGCCCACTATACGCGCATGCGCTTGGAGCGAGGTCTGTCGCGGGGGCCGCGAGCAGCAAAGGCACATTGCTCGGGCCATTATGCCCAAGTTTCGAGTGCACTTGTAAGCTAACATTAACGACTGAGGTTGGTTAGATCAGTTCAGCCGGTAACGTCTACTAGTATAACCATACAATAGTACGACGACCACAGTACACGTGCGTCTAGCAAAAGAAGCGCCAACGTCTGAGAGGATGGAGCAACATCTCTCTTTGCTCCTTTATATTTACGTTGTCGGCATCCCTCGTACGTAAATGTACGAAAGAGGGCATCCCAATCAATTGCGCAACTTAGTTTTGCCGGTCATGCGCTGTGGTCCGCCCGCAAACTCGACAACTACCTCGTCGTCTCATCAGTTGCGCCACCGGTAGCAGGGTCCTGATGATCCGAGTATGTTGTACTAGTATGGCGCAGAAATGCGACTACTGTCAGGCAGCTGATGGAGGAGGCGGTTGCCGCAACGTATTAACGGTTTGCGCTCGATGCTGTTCAATATATCCTACTACCCCTTACCCTGCCCCCTACCGGTATACTTGCGGATGTACTAGTACTGTTTAGGCGAACGTCTTGCTGGATTGTGCCCACAGCTAAAAATTGATTGCTTATATCGGCACCAGCGGTACCGTATGCGCGATCAAATGCTATCCATCAATCTATCTATCTATCTATCTATCTATCTATCTACATACCTATATAGTCAATTGATTACCGGTACGGACTTGGCAAACACTTTGACAGCCGACGATTCTTTCCTGTTTACTAGGAATAAAACCCATTGCGAGGACTGGCGACGACGTGATAGTTTAATCAAACGCGTGTAGAGCTCGAGTGTAGACTGATCAGCCTCGTCCCTTTTGTCGATTGGCTGGAATGCTGCTGTACAAAGCTGTCGAGCAGTATTCGTACCATCGTGGGCGCTGTCGAAGACGAATCTGCCGCGTCGTTCGACGAGGCAAAACTGTTTTTCTAAAGAGATCATTTGGCCACATCCGTATTGGTAGACTCTCGTCCGTGACCAGTCCGTGACCAATATTTCAATGACAACGTCCAAAAATGCTTGCCACCTACCTAGTTCACTTGTTACGTCACTCGTAGTACGTTCGTTGGGTAGTGGCTGCTGCTTCGTCAAGACCACTGCGCGTCGTCATGACGGCGACGATACCATATCAGAGGTGCGTCATGCGATCATTGGAAGGCAACCCGCACATAAGGTAAGTGCTGTCCATCTGATTTTGCGCGCCATCAAAGGAAGATCGGACCAGCGCTCTCTGAAGTCTTCGAGGTCGTACTACTGTGTACTGAGAGTGCTTGCTGTCAGTTGTGAGCGTGCGTCAGCGACACCGCATTTCTAGTTCGTTTGGCACCGCACGCAAGCCGTGATAACCTCATGCAGCGCTGCCACGTGGTCTCGCTCCATCGAACAATGCGGTTCCACGTGGTGGCGTTCGAATGCGTTTTCGGCAGACCTCTCCTTGGGGTGATAGATGACGACACCGCTTCGTCCCGTGTAGTGCCCCGACATGCTACTCTTCGCGCGCCGCAGCCGTCCCGCGGGCTGCTTCACGGCGACAAGAGTGTCAGCTTGTACCGCCTCTTGTACCGCGTTGCAGCTGCGGGTTGGCGCCATGTTGCGTTGGTGGCTACAAATAGCATAGAACCAGATCTTTCGGCAGCAGCCGGTAGTGTGACTGTGACCACTTGCCATCCATCTTGGCTGCGCTTATACACGCCGACTCCATTCCACAGAGCAGGCGCTCATTCGGCTTCTTCCACCGTACGCAGCAGTACCAGCATGATGGACATGGCGTACGTCGGGGGTACACAGCGCGTAGACAAGCTCTTTGGCGAGCAGGCGCAGTCGCTCCGACCCAAGCCGCTGCGGCCCTCCACCGAGGCGCGTCTCGTGGAGCTCATGGAGAAGCGATCGTCCGACTTTGTCAAGCTCATGCTCGATGGACCGTCGACCCTCCAGTTTGTGCGCGAGAAGCGAGGCGTCGCACTCCTCGAAGGACACAACCACAAGAGGCAGTACATGGTCAAGGCGACGACGACAGTGCAGGGCTCCGTCGAGGACATTCTCCTCTCGTTCCAGATGAACAACACGTGGGACTTTGACACGACGATGCACAAGTTCTTCGACTTGTACGCGAACAAGGGCGCGACGCTCTCGACGGTCGCGTCGCAGCCCATCGCGGTGCACTGGATGTCGCTCAACACGGACAAGATCGAGTCCCGCGACTTTGTGTTTGCTTCACACGCGCGCTTTTACGAGCACACGGACGCCGGGCTCTGCCTCCTACCGTTCACGTCGCGCTCGGACGCAACGTCCGGGTCGCTTGTCTGGGAGTCGGTGGACCTCGCCAAGGAAATCCCGCTTCTGCGCCAGACCACGACGGGCTGCACCCGCTACTACTTTCGCCACGCTGGCTTTTACGTCGAAACGACGAGTGAAGAAGACACGTGCCGTGTGTCCTTTGCCCTCTCGTTGGACAACGACGCGGGCTCCGTCGGCGGCTCCAAGTGGATGCACAACCTCGCACTGAGTCTCGAGAACCTCGCGCGCGCGCTTCGGCGCATTGAGCTCGTCCCCAAGGAGAAATGGCACCACCGCGAACACTGCACGCTGTGCAAGAAGTCGTTCCGCGCGTTCCGCCGGCGCCACCACTGCCGGCTCTGCGGCGAGTCCATTTGCGGCGACTGCTCCAAGACGATGCAGCTGGACACGCCCGTGATTGACCACGGCCAGCGCGTTGAGCTCACGAGTCTCCGGAGCTGTCTCCGGTGTTTCGACGCGTGTGGCCGCTCGTCGTCCGACCGACAGTCTCGGTCGAGCACCGCGTCGTTCGAGTACACGCGCAGCTTTGACGAGCCGCGGGCGCACCAAAGCACATCATCGCTGAACCTCACCAAGAGCTTCGCGTCACCCAATGACAGCTTTGATGAATCAATGAAACCACGTCGCCAACGACTGCCGTCGTCGTCGCAGGCGTCGGTTGTCTCGGCAAGCGAGATCTCGGCGCTGGACGAGCTGCTTGGCGCGTCGCTGCGGTCCGTCGACTCGTCGGCACGGTTGTTGCAGACAAAAGGATCGTTTGTAAACCTGCACCCGTTCAACACCCCGACGCCACCTGTCGCAGAGACCGACCGCGAGAGTCTCAACAGCCTCGACGATCGGTCATCGTCTTGCTCGGAGGTCTACGTGCTCGACGGCGAAAACGGGTTCGACATTAGCGCCAAGCGACCCGCGTCGCCGCCATCAGCTGGCGACGTCCCCGTGCAGCCCCAACCCGAGCCGCTGGGCTTTGTGGTGTTTGACGGCACCAAGAAGCAGCCGTCCGAGCCGGCCCTTGTCTTTGATATGATCAAGCTCCAGATGTAGTCGTACCCACTCACTCTTGCCATCGATGGAAGGTGGCTCGTACCACCGGTGAAGCAGAACGGCCGGTATTATTATAAGTACTAGAAATTAAACTGTCGTCGTTTGGAGACAAATCATGTCCTCACTCTTCGCCGAGTACCGCTTGCTTGAGAGCGCGTCGCCAAAGTCGATGAAAATCGGGTCTTCCGACAAGTGCTTCTCGAGCTGGCGCGCGACGGCGCCGCGGCTCGA